ATTGAGTGGAGGCTCTGGTCCATGTTGGGAAAAAATCCTTGAATCCCTTCCTGTCTGGTTTAGTTCAGTCAGCCCGCCTTGAGTGCCTACTGTTTGCTAAGCCTGCTTCCTCCCTAGCAAAATCCAGGTGTGTGGGGAGCCAGGGTCCTGCCCTGAGCAGCCCTCTCTCTCACCTGGTTCCACCTTACTGGGGAAGGGAGGTCAGGCAGGGGACAACAGATGCAGAGAGAAGCATCTAAGCTTGCAAGTGTCTCAGGACAACACTCCCAATTTACTTTCATATGGGTTTTGTCATCATAACAACTGATTGAGCAAAAGCGAAGCCATCCTGACCTCAGCTTGTCCATCGCCCGTGTGACCAAGGTCTTGGACACCCCCACTTTCCACATCTGCAGGACAGCTGTGCCCTCCAGTGACTCAGCTCACAACTGAGGAGAGGGAAAACCAGAGCCCCCTGGGAAATCACCTTTTGGTGAGCTGTGAGATGCCTGGGCCTGGTGTCCCCAAGATCCCTTCTGGTTCTCCAAACTGATGTTTTGCTCACAGAGAAAACAGTTCCACCATCTGATTTTTTACATACCGCGAATATTCTAGACTTCACCCATCTGTTGTTCCCTAGCCTCAGTCCTGTACCATAGACAGCGAACTCACTTTCCTTTGGTCATCAAATCTTGAAAGAGCCTCCTTGCGGGATACAGGGGACAAGATGTTTCCTGGGGACTGGGTTGAATCACTTCCCTTCCCAAGTGGGGCTATGCAGCCAGGCTTCAGAGCACTGGTCCAGCCTAACTTCCCCTTACCACGCGGAAGAATCAGACCCAGCCTGGGACTGCCTTCCACAGGCCCGGCCTAACTCCCCTGTGTATTGGCTGCCTTGCCTTGTCCTGGAGCTGTGGTCAGCCTGCTCTAAGACACTTCGCTGGCCACTTGCCCTCCCTGGCCAGTGCTCTCTGGAAGGCACTTCACGTACCAGGCTAAGGACAGTGGGCTGCTTTGTAGAAGAGCCCACGAAGGTACCCCGTCCACACACGGTCCCCACTTCAGCCCTTGCTCTCTGGTGTGCTCTCAGCCTCTGCTGACCGGAGCTGTAACGGAGCGTTCTTGAGGAGGCAGCTGCTTTGGCTGCTGGCCTCTCTTCCTGGATCTGGGGCCATTGACTCTTTGGGCACAGAGGGCAATTTAGAAATGCTTGCCCTCTAATCTTGGAAGGAAAGAAGGAAGTCTCGATCCACTTGCCCCCACCTCCCAAAGTGCTGGAATTATAGGTGTGTGACCACCCTGCCTGGCTGAGCTCCTAGTGTAGGTGGGTTTATTTTAACAGGAACACTATGCCCAGCTCCAGGTCCCTGGAGCAGGTAGTGGCTTCCCCCCTCCCCGACGAGCCTTTAGCAAGGAGGTATGGAGTAATTTGGTTCATGTCCGTATATTCAGTTATGTACAATAGTCAAGACTTTACCTTAGCCACACACTGAAAGCACATGGTTATAAAGCAAATCTTTCAGGAGGCTGACTGACACAGGAGTTCTGTGTGAACCGTGCCAACCACCTAGTGTGACCAGCACAGAAGGCCCTGACTTGTAGCTGTTGGATGAGATAAGGAGCCCAAGTGTAGGCCGGATCTGGAGTCAAGGCGTAGGCACTTCAGGGGATGTCAGTGTGTAACGCTTTTGCCTCGAGCCCTGCCAGTCTTACTGAATATCTGCATGGTTAATAAGGCAACGGGCATGCTGTTTTGATCCAAGGTTAAGTATCCTTTATCAGTCATTAAAATCTGCAGAAACCTCTGCTTGTGGAGTGTGCCGTGCCCCACGGTAAAGCGGTGGCCTAATAATGAGCTTAGCCCAGGAGGCAAATTGCAGGGTAGAAGTTCCGGTTAAGGTTGGCTGCCTGCCTGGGCCTCCTGGGGCTTCCCGGGGCTAGAAGGTGGAAGACGAGGTCACCTCGGACCTTGGAAGGAACTGGCCGAGGGGTGAGGGGCATCCCCAGCTCTCAGGGTGCACCCTGGGGCCCATGAATGGATGCTTAGGTGGGGAAGGCCAGCCCCACGTCTGCTTGTCACTGTCCAGTGGTCGCTCTGTTCTGACTAGTGGCTCTTTCTGAGCTCTTTGCTCCATCTCAATGAATATAAACTGGCTGGCTGCTAAGAAATTAAAATTTATTTTCTTACAATTCTGGAAGCTGGACACCTGATGTCGGTGCCAAGGCAGTGTTGGGCTAGCAGGGGGTCTCTCCTGAGTTAGAGACTCCCGACGCTCTGTGTGCTCAAGTGGTAGGTAGATGGCTGGAAGTCTCTTTTATAAGGTCACTGATCCATACTTGAGGACTCCACAGTCACGGGCTTATCACCTCCCCAAAGGCATATATATGTACTTCAGGAAGGGAGGGATCATTTAGTTTATAAGGAGTATGTGACTCTACACTTGTGCAACTCGGGAGGAAGACACTCAGTGTACTGTCTTTAAAAACACAAGTCTTCTAACTGTGCAGAAAAAGATTTATCCTAATTTGGCAATTTTCCCAAAAAGCACTTTTCTTCTTAGCGTGGGAAGAGCTTTCTGAGTGGCGGCGTCAGATGCATGAGTCTGTGGACGGGGCTCGATTCTCTGGGGTGATACTGGCTCCAAAAAGTGGCCCATCAGGGATGAGGGGTGCAGGGCAGGGGCTTCCCATGCTCGTGTGGGACCCGCTGGAGTCTCTCCCTGCCACCTGTCAGAGGGCAGCGCCCCAGCCCGGTGAGGCTCGAGTTGGGGTTTGGAGGGCCCTCAGCCTCCACTTAAGCATGAGTCCCAGGAAGACAGGAGTGAAGCCTGGTCAGCCCCGGCTCCCGGCAGGCCAGGCTGGCCCCACTGGTGAGCCCTGGTGGCATGGAGAGGATGAATCTTCTGGGCTTCCCTGAGGCCTGGCTGTGTCTCTGCTGCCCCAAGCTGTGCAGTCCTCCCACCCCGCTTTCCCTCGGGTGAGAACCGAGAATGCTGTGCAGTGCATACCCTCAACATGGCTGCTTCTGCCGCGCAAGGGAGACACAGGTGACAGTGAAGGGAGGATGCAGTGGCCCTAGTGGTACAGGTGGTCTGGGCACCAGCAGGTCTGACTTATGCCTCCCCAGGCACACTGTCCACAGGAGCATAGAAGTCTGAATAAAAGCAGATACAGGTGTAAAAGGAGCTCAGGGCTCAAGCACAGAGTGCATTTTGGGGGTGACCCTGCCAGAGCTGAGACTAAAGGAAGGTGGAAGCTAGGACAGTCAGCCTGGTCTTTGTCACCGAACCTGGGTGCATGACCCAATGGGAGAAATGAGAGAAATCCAGCGGGACAAAGGAGCAGCACCCACTCTGTAAGAATTACTGTGTGTCAAGGACTTTACATCTAACTCATATGAAGTTACTCTCATTTTCCCATTTTATAGATGAGGAAATTGAGGCTCCAGGATCAAGGAGCTTGCTAAGGCCCCAAAGCTGTAGCATCTGAGAGTGTCCCTTTGTGGCATTACACAACCCCATGCATGGCACTCTGGTACCTGCTGCCAGGAGCCACAGAGGTGGGACGCATCAGCACTCTAGCCCTGACCTGGGTCCCCATCCCAGCCAGACTGGCGCTGGGGAGGCTGGGGCTTACATGCCAGCTTTCTTCAGGATTAACTGAGATTCCAGAGGGGCTGCTGCTGCAGGGCCCTGTCGCAGGGGACTTGGCCAGCAGAGCTCCTGCAGTTACAGCGCTGCCTGGGATGGCCCAGTTTACTAATGACTTGTCTTCTTTAAAGTCAGGCCCCTCTGCATCATTCCGTGCCTTCCCCGCAGCTCTGGTGGGCTACTAGAGACCCAGTAGCACCGTGCAATAGAAACTCAGTGTTGGTATATCACAGGGTGAAGCCGCTGTCCCGCAGGAGGCCCAGTGTGTCCTGCAGGCAGTGGCAGTGGTGTTGGAGGACGTTTGGAGCACATACTGATGAGTGAACCTCTGAGGAGAGAGATCAGCTTACAGTCAGGAGGAGAGTGAGGGTGAGGAATATTAAGGATTTGGGCATCAAAAGATTAAGAAAAGCTCTTAGAAAAACTGAAGATCTTGAATAGGCAAAAAACGATCTTTATGATTGTCGTGTAAGAAGAAAAATATGAAATAAAAGTTTCAAGACAGTTGTTTTTAAACAGTACACACCAAAGTTGCCTACCCCCCCAAAATTGTCTTGCTCTTTGTTCTTTAAAACAGTCTAATACATAATTAAGAGTTGCCTGCTTTTAACCTACATTTTTAAACATATAGAAAACTGACTTATTTTTAATCTTTTCTTTTTTTTTTTTAAACAAAGACCTGGTCAAACTTTCCATCCACCACCTCAGCCAAATCATCTGCTATGAAATGAATGGCCCTAATTCAAGTGGATTTTTCTAAAGTTACCACCACCAGCCCCACTGCTGTACCAGATATTCTTAGTTAACTGTGACCTGTTCTTATTTCAGCCTGGCAGATAGAGGGGTGTTAGCAGGTGGCGTGCAATTCTTTAGCAGCCAGAAAAGTTATTGTTTTGCATTATAGTAGTGCTGAATATTCCTTCCTGTTAGTCTGAGACATTCTCCTAAAAGAATGATTTCTTCTTGGTTGCTTTTGAAATAATGGCATCCCAAAGACTGTCATCTAATGGCATCCTTATGATTTTGAGGTTTTCTTCAGTATGGTTTAAAAATGTATCATTTACCCAGTTCCAGTTCTGATGTTTAAATACTTAGGTTTTATCTAATGGTCTAGAAAACCTTCACACAGCACCCAAGTCATTCTGTACTGTGTATCAGAAGAGGCGCCTTGGCTGGTTCTGTCTTAGGGTGTGGAGTAGACCTAGAGTCTGTGTGCAGATGGGAACAGGTGTGCTGCCCCTAGAGACCGCTGACGTCTGATCCTTTTTCTTTTTTTCTTAATCTCAGTGGGATTTATTTTATTTTTGAAGACCCTTTCAGATTTACCGAAATGTCTGATCGTTTTAACTCAGGTTTTTCTTCTCTCTGCAGGCGTCGCCTCATCTCCCAGAGATCATCCTTGGAGACCCTGGAAGACATTGAGGAGAACGCCCCTCTCCGGAGGTGAGCTGTTCATGTTTCACGTGTTGTGTGTAAACAGCTGGTGGTACGAGGTGAATTTTTTATTTTTAAGTCTTGTCTACAGAGTTAAATTTTTTAAATGCCTGTCTGACTCCCAGGAACTATGAACATACTCCTAATGTGGAACCCCACCCCTGAGAACCGTTCGAATTTAGGGGCTTTTTCTTTTGTGGGTTCCTGTTTTTATTGTTGTTTTTGGTTTTGTTTTGTTTTGTTTTGTTCTGTTTTTTGCAGGGCTGGCGGCCCAACCATCTCTCTGCATACTAGGGAAGCGCTGCATCACTGAGCTAGGACCCCACCTGCCTTCTCGATCTGAAAGCTGCTATTCATTAGAGGAGAGCCCAGGGTTGTCGTGGATGTGGTCACATAGTAGGCTTGGGCTTGGGCTACAGTTTTAGCCAGAGGAGCAACCGGAATCCTTAGGAGATCTGGCACACCACTGCCCGGCTGGTGCTGGGGAAGCCTGACTATGGTTGTAAGAGCTTCCTGGGCCTGAGTGGGGCATTTTCACCCTGGGATAAGAAAAGCACAGGCAAACGATCTTTGAGGGTGACAGCAGCCGTTGAGCTGTGCATCTTCATACTGGCAGTGCCCCCTCCTTGAGTGCTCCCTCTCCTTCAGTCCACATGTATCTGTAGAGTCCCAGCCAGGGCACACACGCCATACCTCTTTAGGTTTCTGCGGCCCTGAGCTGGGCAGGCAGGAAGAGAGAGGCTGGGACGCCAGCCAGAGCCTCTCAGGGAAGGCAACTGGTTAGAGGCAGGCAGCAGGATGGCCTGCAGGAGACACAGCACCCACAGACCTGCAGCTCTGCCTTGAACCTGTGTTTGTGCTCCCTGAACTTTGGCTGCTTGCTGGTCAAGACTCGAGAGTCCCTGGCTTTCCGCAACAGCCCGGGAGGTGCTGCCCTGACCAAGGCTCCTTCTCTCAGGAGAAGTGGAGGGCAGAGTGAGCCCAGGGTCTGATTAAAAGTGTCATGTGACCATGAATCTGGGGATGACTATGTCATCCCCAAGAGACAGCGGGATCAGTATGCTCTCAGCTTTTGACGCCGTGGGACAGGTGCACAGTATTGGAGAGTGCCATGGGCAGAGCAGGAGTGTGGATGTTTGGGGCTGGTGCTTGGCCCAGGCACATACGTCCTCCTGGGGGCCACCGTGACCTGGTAGGAGACAGAGCCGTGTGGCCGGCTGCATTGACAGGCCCTTAGGTGAACCTAGTCACCAGCTTAGGTTCAGATGGTGAACATGGGGGAGCAGTGTTCTGGGGTGGCAGTGAGTGGCTGGAGTGAGGTTGCTCTGATCAAGGCTCTGAACAGGGAAGCCAGCAAACAACAGAAAAGGCCCAGATGCTTCTAGAGGCCCCAGTCTTTCAGGCTGGTGGCAGCGTGAGCAGAAGGACCTTTAGCGATGGGGCACAGTGCAAACATGTTCCTGCCGCCTCGGGATTCCAGGACGAGGCATTTGTGCCCAGGAAGCCAGGACTCATGGTGTCTCCAGGAGATTTAGAGCAGGCCCAGGAGGATCTGGATGCTGTGTTCCTGGCAGCGTCCCTGTCACCCCCACCTTGATAGCCCAAACCTATCCAGATGAACAGTGAGTGAAATGGGCCGTGCGCCTCACCGCCACTTCATCCAGCTCTCCTTATGGAGTGACACTGCTCCGAATTTCAAATGACTTTTGTGCAAATGTAACATTTTTTAAATAACCAGAAACCAAGGCAGTTTTAGAAGTCTTCTCCCCCACCACCACCACCCCCGAGGGATTTTTTTAATTAAAAAAAAAAGTTTTTATATTTATTTAGACATTTACTTGTTCCTAGGAAATAAAATAAATGGGATATGAAAGAAGGGGCTTTGGTTTGGGAATCTAGGGGCCCAGGTGCTTGCCCTGGTTCTTCTACCTGGCTGTGTGACCTCAGTAACTCGCCCAGTGTCTCTGGCACCCCAGGGATCCTGTCTGTAAAATGAGACGGCTGTGCAGGCTGAGGGTCTCTGGGTTCTTTGTGGAGAGGACCCAAACTGACACTGCATGAGTTTGGGAACTGTGGGGGTGGAAGGTTATTAGCCCAACTGGCTTTTAAGCTTAGCACTTAGAGCAAATGGCTCCAGGGTGTCTATTAAAACTTTTGCATAATTACAAGCATCCTGTAATCAGTGCTAACAAGAAAGAGCTAATCTTTCATTAAATTAGTTTTTAATTTAATTCTACCCTAATTTAATTTTTGCATCACTTAAGACGTGTTGTTTTTTAAAAAGACACTTCCACATTAACCAGGCGGCTTTGAAATGTATTTGTGCTTTGCCTAACCTGCTGCAACCTGAGCACTCAGTATTCCAGTTTCCTTGGCAATTGTTGCCAACGCCACAGCTCTCTTCAAGCATTTCTTAGGTTCCCTGGTGGCTTAGTTGAATGCTTTAAAAAAGCAAGACAACAAACAGCTTGCTGGTTGAGCGGCCAGATCAGTAGGGTATATAGTTTGAGCTGGGAGCTGATAGTGAAATACAGGGCATTTATGAAGTTATCCTGTTGGAAGTCTTCTTCCTTTTCCATGGCACCATTAGTGTTTCCTGGAACCACCTGGAACTCCAGGAATTGAGCACTTAATAAGGAGAGGGATTTGAGGCATTTTCTACCTGCCTGGTAGTTACCTAGTATCCAAAATAATAACTTTATTAGGTGTTCACTGCAAATACGGCCACTGCCAGTGCCAGCCCTGGTTTCCCAGGCTGGCTAGGGGTATGGGCATAGGTAGTCACTGCTGCTGCCACCACCTGCCCCAGCTGGCACCAAAAGCACCTGTGGCAGATGCTAACAATCATCACAGTAGGGACCTTTGAGTGGTCTTGGCCAGGGCGCTGGGGAGCTCACGGGGAGGCCAGGGTGACACAGTCTGGGTGGTGGTTTCCTGCTCTTGGCCGATGGCCCATGAAAAACCTTTTCACAGTGAAAGCTGAGGGCTGCCTGCTAGCTTGGAGCTATGAGCATTCAGCTCAGTGGCCTTTATCCAAGTAGTTAACACGGTAAGGTGCTGTTTCGTAAGGAAGTAGAGTATCTGGTACGCACAGGGGGAGGGTTCCTGCTAGAAGGGTGAGCCGGGCTGCACCATCCTGGATGCCCCTGCTTCGGCCACAAGAGCAAGACTGGGGCTGCTGCATGGCCTGAACCTTGTCCTTTCCCTGCCCACTTTGCACATGGCCTGCCTACAACTTCACCTCCTGGCTAATATTGTCACCCCTTTGCCTGAAGTCCCTGAATTCGAATTGGCCGAGTTTTGGTGATGTCCCTGCCCAGATCCAAGTGAACACTTTGGGAAGCTGAGCACTTTCTGAAGCAGGAGAACCCATTCTTGGGGCCCACGTTAGAAAAGATTTTGTTTTTGGGGTTTTTTTCCATCAGAAACTCAAAATATAAAATCACAGCGCCATTTGACAAGAAAGGACCAGACTCAGACTCTTGTTGGTAGCAGTGATGCTGTTGTAGTTTTGTGACTTAAAATTTACTAAGTAACTTAATCCCAACACTTTGGGAGGCTAAGGCAGGAGAGCTTACAAGTTTGAGTCCAGTCGTGGTAACTTAATGAATTAGAAAAACTCTGACTCAAAATTTGAAAAAAAAAATGTAAAAAGATCTGTATGGTCCATGGCCTTTGTAGACTTCTCAATGCAAGCAAATGATATACATTCCAAGAATAAAAAAAGAGTGTTTTGAATCCAAAGCACTTGGGTATGGTACATAGTTATTTAAAATTTATCTTTAAACAGCCAGGTGTGGTGGCACACACCTGTAACCCAGCACTTGGGAGGCTGAGGCAGAAAGATCACGAGTTCAAGTCTAGGTTGAACCACATAGTGAATTCAAGGCCAGCTTGGACTATGTAGCAAGACCCTGTCTAAATAAACATACACACACACATACACACACCCTACAAATAAATAGCAACTAACTGAACTCCCATTCTCATTCAGATTTAAGCGGTGACTTCCCAGGTTGGTCCTGTTGGAAGCTGAGGCAGCTTGTGCAGCTAATTCAGGGCAAAAATCCTGCTCTGAAAAGAAAATGATCCAAGGTTGTTTTTAAACTGAATTTTCCATGTTATCAGCCCCACATCCTTTGAATTTATAGCTCTCTGTTCCCTTTGCCTGTGTTGATTCAAGAGGATTCTTTTGACTATGACAATGAAGAGTAATGTCTCTGGAACCTGGATAGGTTACATTATTGTATCTTGGACCATCATTTTCCTTAGCTGGCTTCCCAGGGCATCGTATAAATTGTTATCGGTGTTATCGAGGAAGTTGTCCATCACTGGGTTTTTTTAAAACTTCCTTGCTTCCAGCCGCATTGTCTTTATTATCCCTGGGCCTCCTGCCTGCTTCGGGTCGCCTTAAAGCGTTTGTCATCTCTCCTTCCTGTCTTTGTGCAGAGACGGCTCAGCTGTCCCACAGCCAACTGACTGTTTTTCAAAATGACTTTATTTTTCAGATGTCGAACTCTCTCAGGTTCGCCCAGACCAAAGAATTTTAAGAAGATTCATTTTATCAAGAACATGCGGCAGCACGACACCAGGAATGGCAGGTACTGCATGCAAGGCCTAGGGGACAAGGCAGGACCGAGGGGACATTTCACAGCCAGAGCTGAGCAAAGATAAAAGCCCACACTTTATGACCTAGAGTGTAGGTGGCGAACCTATGGCACACGTGCCATAGTGGGCTGTTTGTGTCATTGAAAACACTACAAGGTTCGCCATCCCTAACCTAGAGGACCTCTGTGACACCTCCCATTTCCTTCAGAATCCCCAAGAAGAATCTAGAGAACAGTGTTCTCTAAAGGCTTAACTGAGAGACTGAGACCAGCAAAGAACTGGATTTTGGATAGCATACAAATAGTACCTTTATAGAAAACTTTGAGCCGAAAAATAGTTATCTTTCTGTTTTATCTGGTTTATTTTCATTCCTTGCCACCACTGCGGGTCCTGGTTAATAAACACCCCATGGAGCTGTGATGGAGCGTTGGTTCGGCTTTGGTTTTACTGACTCTTTAGGGGCACAGAACAAGGACTTTGCCTGCCAGCAGACTCTTCCTGGGTGCTGGTTCAGATCCCTGGTATTAGGTGGGAGGTATCCTTTTGAAACATGCTAATAAGTAAAAATGGTTGTGTTTGAAATTTGTAACACCTTGATATTAAAATGCCAGAGCACAGATGGCCTGGAATCACTGTTGCCAGCGTGCTGAACCTTGTGGTGGTGGGCGGGGAGCTCAGATCCTGCACCTCTGGGGCCCTGGACATTCTGGGAGCCCGGGTGGGCAGTGAGAGATGCCAAGACCTGCTCATTAGATTTCCTAGGTTCCAGTGGAGTGAGTGATGGTCCCCAAACACTCACTACTCTTTACAAAATAAAAATCACTAGAGGCATTTAGACTCACTAAGGCCCAGAATTCCCCTGATATTTAGTGGCAGAAAATACACTTGACACCCTGTATAATGACTCTAGTGTTTATGATTTTTAAAGGTTCATGTTCTTTAAAGTGTATCCCTTTTTTCAATAGGAATAAGAAGTATACTTTTATAACAATTGCAGAGGTTGCAGAATAGCAAAACTGAGATCCTCAAATAATTTTTATAGAGTATATGTTCGTATTTTAATGTGGAGCATTTAGTTAACATTCATCCAGCTGTTCCTTGTTAATTGGAGTACTCTAACTCTCTTTCTTACTTGTCACTTAGAATTATTATGCTTTATTCATTTAGCACCCCTTTCTCTTTAGAGGCTTTCATGCCATTTCTAGTATAATTATCATTTATTTACATTTGTGGTTTTTTTCCTCATGATCTTGTTTACCCTAACATAAACTTGAAAGGCTTGAATTCCTAAATACCATGACAAAGCCATAGAAATGCACCGAGTCAGTGGTACTGCTGCCTCCTATGGCAGACCATCTGGGGTACAAGAGTCAGGTAATCTCCTGGCATGGTCAGGTAAGGGCAGGATGCAGTTCATGAAAACTCTGGACTAAGGGACTTTCCTGAGCTGCCTCCTTGCACACCATAGACCCAGGACAGCATGGACACTCAGGAGAGGTGCAGTGGTCAGCAGTTTTGCTGGGAATCTGGAGGGGAGTCAGGACTCTGTTGATCTGCACATCTGCAGGCAGGAAGGAGAGATGGGAGGACCACAGGCTACAGGTGGGCAGCTCTGCCCAGGTGAGAACCAGCTTCCCAGGTGGGAGTTGCAAGGGGCTTATCTTCCTAGGGTTCACTAGAGGCTAGATGTCCTCACATGAAAGCCTGCCCAAGAGGAAGCCAGGAAGAAAATAGGGTTCCGAGGCGACAGGAGGAAGTTGTGGTCAGCATCTGATGAATGGGAGGATGTGACCCAGCCTTTTGGAAAGCTAAGCAGAAGGTTTGCCCCGTGGGCGCCGGGCCACACTGTGGGGGCTGCTGACTGAGATGGCTGGGCCATCTAGGGGAGCTCTGGTCTCTGTGGTGGGGACCTGAGTGACAGCAGGGGTCTCCGAGTCGCCCCCCCACCTAGGACCTCCAGCTAACACAGTTCAGCCTGCCAGTCTGCAGAGCAAACCGTGGCTGAGGCTCCCTCATTTCCAGATCTGCTGCCCGTGTGAAAGAGTCCACTACACAAAGAAGGTCCCTCATCTGCCTGAGGACCAGAGAGCAGCTCATGAGATGAGCGGTGGGCTTCGTGTGCCACTGTCTGACCCAGATGACAGTTCCAAGTATGATTCTGAGATGGGTGAGGTAGGGATTGCCTAAAATTGAAAACCTAATCCAATGAGAGACAGTACGTGTAGCATTTTAAAAGCATTTAAAAAGCAAGATTAAAATTCCTAGGTTGACCTCACAATCAGTAATATCAAAGTATCTGCAGAGGAAGAGACCTTTAGGCCTCAGGTGACTCCATGCCCACCCTAAAAAATTGCCTCCTCCATGACCTTAGAGGATGCGCACTGGCCCATGAGGTGGACCTGGACACCAGAGATGGAAGCATGCAGCTATGTGATTGCTGTCAGTGAAAATCACATTCACCTGTGTGTGTGAGCAGATGGAGAGGCCTGCATGGACCTCAGAGAGCTGTGGGTGTGGACCCTGTGCAGAGGAACTAAGCCGAGGGTATCTGGGAGTCCGCTACAGGCAGTGGGTCAGGTGGAGGCCAAGGACAGTTCCCGAAAAGGTCACAGGCCGGGTCATGATGGGCCTCGGCTCTGCTGCTACAACCCCTGCACATGATGAGCTCTCACCTGGCCCTGCCTGCAGTCCCACCCCTAGCAGCCACATGAAACCAGGGAGCTGCTGCTCTGGGGTCCAACTCTGCAACGACATGGAGATGGCACTCTGGAGCCTAGGGGAGTCACAGTGGGCCAATGGACGGAAACAGAAGCAGGATGTCCTTGGGTTTTGAGGTCTCAGACCTCAGGAAGTTCTGGCGAGGACCTTCCTGCCGAAACAGATTGTAAAGATGGCCAGGTAATGACGAGTCCCACTGGCTCACTGCACGCCAGGCCTGATGTACTTCATCGGCTTCCTCTCACTAACTCAAAACTCGGGTGTTTGTTGGATACATGAGTGGAGGTGTCTTAAACATAGGCTTCTGTCCTCAAGCCTAGATCTCAAGGAATGGAAAGAACTTAAACCCAGATGATCTTTGGAAGAACCATAGGAGGAAGGCGTTATGGCTGTGTTTCTAGTAGGCTTCCACTGGGAGAATAGAAGCCCTATGTGACCAAAGCCCTTAAAAGTGGCTTACTGGGGTCAGGTGCAAAGTAGGGTGAGACTCCTCCAGCCTCGACTGGCTCTGAAAATGGAGATGGGGCCACAAGGCAGTGCATGCAGGCAGCCTCTGCTAGCTGGGAATGCTGGAGAACTGGTGCTCCCCAAGCCTCTGGCAGATAGCAGCTCTGCTCTAACCTCCAGAATTAGAAGTTAAAAGTTCTGTGTTTTAAGCCTCTGTCTGGTAGTTTTTTAAAATCACAACCACTGCATACTAATTATCCCAGATAGTAAGCAACCATTATCCCAGTTTACAGAGTGCATAGTGGGAAAGAAGGGAGAGAATCGAGTCCAGTATCTCTCCCTCTGCTCCGCTTTCCCCTCATTTAACTGGGGATTGAACACAGAGCCTCTGCCCTGAGCTGCATTCTCCGTCCTTTTTTTTTTTTGACACAGATTCTTAGTAAGCCACTGAGCCTCCTGCCTCAGCCTCCCAGACCGTAGGGTTACGAGTGAGCATCTTCATGCCTGGCTTAAAGTTTATTGTCTTGAAGAGACCAGTGGGAGGCAAACATCCATTTTGTCTAACACAGCATGTCATGGCAGAGTGTGGGAAAAGTCTCTGCTGCACTCCTGAGTTTTAGAAAGCATTAGGCCTAAGAAAAAAGAACAGCTTCGGCAAACTTGTAAGACTGGTGTGAGGGAGACTCCAGTCCAGAATGAAATAAATACTGTTAGAAAAAGAAGCCAACTGAAGCCCTTGCACATTGCGGCTGGAAATGCAGTGTGGTTCAGTAGCTGTGGGGAGCAGCTTGGTAGAGCCTCAGAAAGCCAAGCATAAAATGACCCGCAATCAGCAAGTTCATTGCAGCACGCATTGCCCCAGAGACGAGAGAAGCATGCAGACAGACAGGTGCGTGCCAGTGCAGTGTTACTCATGATGGCCAGGGGGCAGGGATGGTCCGTGGCCATCGAAGGGTGACTGGGCAAGCATGGTGTAAACATATGAGGAGTTGCGGAGCCATGAGAAGCAGGGAGGTGCAGGTATGTGGCACAGAGTGGAACTTGGAGACACCGCTGAGGGAGTGAGTTAATCTAGGCAGAAAGGTCAGGTGTTGTGACATTCCACGTATAGGAACTAGATCCAGCACAGGGAAGCCCGTAGAGACAGGAAATGTATGGATTGGAGGTTACCAGGGGCCAAGAGGAGAGGAGTTGCTGGCTCAGAGGAGTTCTGTCTGGGATAATGGAAAAGTTTGGGAAATGGTTAATAATACTGGTATACGTTGTACATGTGCTTACGTGACACTGAATTGTATACTTCACCTGTCTAACATATTTATTTTGCTAAAATGCAATATAACGTACCCATGATTCCGATGGGGCTTTTATAACTGTATTTGGAAGAGGAAAGGAAGTGGTCGTGAGTTTCTGGGAGAGGATAGTCAGCAGATGTTAGCTGCTGGCCATGTTAAGTCTCTTCCAGTGTGCAGACCCTGACCGGCACAGCACCTGGCCCACAGCTGGTGCTGTGTAACGTTGAGTAAGAGGATGTAGAGGCCTTTTCCCTGGCTTCAGGGCTAGACCTGGGACATGGGAAGACTTTACAAATGATCTTTAAAATGCCATGGGGAACAAAAGAAAGTCTAATGTCAGGCTGCTGTTGACTTAAGAGAGTAAAATGAATCTGTGATGGTCACGGAGGGTAAATTCTAATGATCGCCCTGGCCAGCAAGCTGCAGGCTGATTGCTGGCAGAGATTGGGAACAGATGGTTTGTGTGCTTTTTAGAAACCAGTGTGGAGGTTGCTAGAAGTCACCAGGAGTTCACTAAGGAAAAGTCATGTTAAATT